CCCTACAAAATACGAGATGCTCGTGGGCCGATGTCCTTCCTGTGCCTACAAGAAAACTAAACCGAATAAGTATGGACTGATGATGCAAAGACTCACCACTACCTGCTCAATGCTTTCGTCTATACGAACAGAAATATCACAGCAGATGACTGGTTCACGTCAGTAGAATTACATGTAGAATTGCGCATCAACCAACTGACCTATGTCGGCAGGAAGCGTAAAAATAAGTAACAAGTACCCCAACATGTAGTTCCAAATAAGAAGGAAACACAGCCAGGTACTTCTAAGTTTATGTTGTACAGCCTTAGAGTAGTATCTTCCAAAACCAAATACACATGTTCTCGTATAGCAATCTATGCAGCATGATAACAAAATAGTAGAGGAATCAAAGAAACCTGATAAGATCCTATATTATTTTTATAACACTATGAAGGCGGGGGGTAATGCATTAGATCGGAAGTGTGTATATTACAATACTGGTTAGAGAACGAGAAGATGGCCTTGTGCTATTTGGTATCCAACCAGCTTCTGTAAATTCCTTTTTTTTTCAGTCTGGGACTGAAAGTTCCATTAGGCGACGAAATTTTATTGTTCCCCTGAGGCAAACTCTAATTTAACTTCGTATGAGAGGACGTTTATCAGATCCAAGACTTCCTAGGGAGCTTCGTTCAGCCATGCAAAGAATCCTAAATTACCAACGACGAATAAAGTAAGCCGTCTACTTCTCAGCCCAGAGTTCTCGATCCTGATGCAGTTGTTAAAGAAAAAAAACGACGTAGGTGTTACATGACAATACACAATGAAAAAAATGTTCTACAATCTGTAATAAGTATGTAAAGTCACAGCGCAGTTACATTGTTTCGTGAAAAGTGATAAATGTGAATTATTGTACGTTTCCTTATACGAGAAAGTATTTGTTTTTTTTGTAGAATATCAACACCAAGTATGTTGTTAAATGGCCCATTTTGTTAGTTTTTTTATGTTCATATTACAGTTCAAGCTTCGTAAATTATATTTATTGCATTAATCATCTTCAAATGGGGTATTTTCGTTTTTAGACAATAAACAGTTTTCATGTAAGAGTGTCTTATGCGTACAAACCTGTTGTACACATGGCTAAAAACAGTAATGGCATTTCAGAAGTTGATAGTAAGATCCGGTGGATAACCTGTTTTGCGAGATTAGACGTGGGATTTCCAACACGAACCCCATCTGCTTATTTGCAGCATTAAAAACTGTAATAATCAACAATTTCAGTTTTCCATTGACAATAATGAAGAATTATGAAGGCGATTCATGTAAGGCACTAGGTAACTTCGCGTTGCTTTTAGAAGAGTATTGTCTGAATAGACAACAGTTACCTTGTGATTTTTCACCGAGCTGCATTTTTCAAGTTGAAAAATCGGGTGCTGAAAGTGATGGATCTATAGATTTGTGAGAATTTGCTGCTTCTTCAACTTCTTTTTGTAATAACAATAACAGTCTATATAAAATTTAACAATTCTGGTCCTTCTTTGATTTTGAGTCACCCTGTAAGTGTAGCTCTACTAAACTATCGGACCGCATTCATAGCCTACAAGAGAAAAAAATCTTCTATACTGGAAAGGAGGAAAAAAGAATGTATCAACCTGATACATCTGCCCCTCTTTATAACCCGTGAAATAGCCCTAGTTCTAATTAAATTTCAGTCCAAGCTTCCAAAATGACTTCCGACAATATTAAAGTAGCCATAAAGATCAGACCAATGATCCACCGCGAAGTAGCCGATGGTCTAGAGCGTCTTTGGAACGTAAGAGAAAACTGCATATGGGAAGCCGATGAAAGTAGTCGCCATGGAGAGGTTTATATATTCGACCATATATTTAACCAGGAATGTACAAATTCAGATGTATATGGATCTGTAGTAAAACCTTTAGTCGATTCCTTCATGGAAGGTTTCAATGCCACAATATTTGCATATGGCCAAACATCTTCTGGCAAAACACACACCATTTTGGGCAATAAAACAGATCCTGGGCTTTTCCAATTAGTATCCAATCAGTTATTCCAGCATGTGGCAGACCAGGTTGATAAGAGGTACTTGATTGGATGCAGTTATATTGAAATCTACAATGAAAAGATCAATGACCTCCTGGATAAGAGCAATCAGGGTTTAACTATAAGAGAAGATATCAAAGGAAATGTGCTGCTTGATGCAAGGGAAGCTGTCGTAGACAATGTTGATCAAGTTATGGAGAACATGATGCAGGGCAATAAGATCAGACGAGTTGCAGCTACTCGCATAAATGAGAGGTCATCTCGATCACACACGATTTTCCGGATTATTCTGGAGTCGAAAGATGCCAATCAGAAAGATGGACCTGTACATATAAGCTACCTTAACTTAATGGACTTAGCTGGTTCTGAGAGAGTTTCTCTGACGAAAGCTGCTGGTGAGCGTCTTAAAGAGGGGGCTAACATAAACAAATCTTTGTCAGTATTAGGAAATGTGATAAGGCAACTAAGCGAGGGGAAGGAGTTTATCAGTTATCGCGATTCGAAATTGACTAGACTGCTCTCACAGGCTCTTGGCGGTAATGCCAAATCATTGATTATCGGGAATGTTACTTTAGCTGCAGAGGAGGAGACTAGATCTACACCTAGAATTCGCCCAAAGCACTAAAACTGTCAAAAATAAACCGAAAGTAAACATCTTGTCAGCTACAGAAGAGGCACTTCAAGGATATCAGAACTTGACTCGCGATCTCGAAACTCGGCTCAAAAAGCAGGCAATTAAGCTAGAAGAGATGCAGAAAAGCAAACAAGAGTATCTGCTCGAGATAGAAAGACTAAAAACGGAAGTATCTATTGTCGGGCGCTTTCAAATGGGAGCCTCGGCATCAACACCGAAAAAACATTAAGACGTCATACTTTTGGAGACTATGGCAACGTATCACCTAAAAAAGCATCCCTACGGTATATGCCATTGAAAATTATCCACCCGAAGAAGAATCATCCGGACGTGAAATGAGGCCTATTCAAAAAGAGACATATGAGGAGGCACTAGCCGAAGCAGAATCTGTGATAGCTGAAGACGTGCCTGCAAGTGTGCTTAAAAGACAACTCCAAGAACTGGAAGAATCTTTCAATGTGCTTAGAGAATTCACTAAACTAGATAATCAGCTGGAGATTTTGGACCTGAAGAAACAGCTCACAGAAGCCAATTCTAAAATCGATCGTTACAGTCAGGAACTCCGCCAAGTAACGGATGCGTACAATGAAGAAATAGAAAGGGTTCAAAAAAATTCTCAAAAAGCGCAAGAATTTCATCGACTTGCAACACAGACTCGATTTTCTGGAAAAAAATTATAAAAAGACTAAAAACATACGAGTCAGAAATAGAGATGCTGCGTAGTCAACTGAAGAACCTAGGAAGATCAGAGAGCCCTAAACTATCTCTTGAAGCTCAAAATATTGAGTCAAAAAAAGAAGGTTGCAGACTTAGAAGCTATGCTTGACGCTGAGTACGAAGATATGCAAGTTTCTTTAAGTGCTGCTACACAAACTGATGTAACGATGTCACACATTGCTGAACTGCAAGATGAAATTGGCTTCCTAAAAGAACTTGAATCTAAACTGAGAAATGACGCAAAGAGTCTGATGGACGACAATATTATTTACCTGAACTAAAGTCCGTGGCAACCAATTTGGAAAATAATAACCCTGTGATTCGAGAAATGCAGATAAATTTCTCCAAATACGAGAAATTTTCTAGACACTCATAGAGAACTGTCGAAATTGTTATATTTCGGGTGAGTCCCCTACAAAATACGAGATGCTCGAGGGCCGATGTCCTTCCTGTGCCTACAGGAAAACTAAACCGAATAAGTATGGACTGATGATGCAAAGACTCACCACTACCTGCTCAATACTTTCGTCTATACGAACAGAAATATCACAGCAGATGACTGGTTCACGTCAGTAGAATTACATGTAGAATTGCGAATCAACCAACTGACCTATGTCGGCAGGAAGCGTAAAAATAAGTAACAAGTACCCCAACATGTAGTTCCAAATAAGAAGGAAACACAGCCAGGTACTTCTAAGTTTATGTTCACTAAGCACTACAAGCCTTAGAGTAGTATCTTCCAAAACCAAATACACATGTTCTCGTATAGCAATCTATGCAGCATGATAACAAAATAGTAGAGGAATCAAAGAAACCTGATAAGATTCTATATTATTTTTATAACACTATGAAGGCGGGGGGTAATGCATTAGATCGGAAGTGTGTAAATTACAATACTGGTTAGAGAACGAGAAGATGGCCTTGTGCTATTTGGTATCCAACTAGCTTCTGTAATTCCTTTTTTTCAGTCTGGACTGAAAGTTCTATTAGGCGACGAAATTTATTGTTCCCCTGAGGCAAACTCTAATTTAACTTCGTATGAGAGGACATTTATCAGATCCAAGACTTCCTAGGGAGCTTCGTTCAGCCATGCAAGGAATCCTAAATTACCAACGACTAATAAAGTAAGTCGTCTACTTCTCAGCCCAGAGTTCTCGATCCTGATGCAGTTGTTAAAGGGAAAAAACGACGTAGGTGTTACATGACAATATACAATGAAAAAAATGTTCTACGTCTGTAATAAGTATGTAAAGTCACAGCGCAGCTACATTGTTTCGTGAAAAGTGATAAATGTGAATTATACGAGAAAGTATTTGTTTTTGTTGTAGAATATCAACACCAAATATGTATGTTGTTAGATGGCCCATTTTGTTAGTTTATTTATGTTCATATTACAGTTCAAGTTTCGTAAATTATATTTATTGCATTACTCGTCTTCAAATGGGGTATTTTCGTCTTTAGACAATAAACAGTTTTCATGTAAGAGTGTTTTATGCGTACAAACCTGTTGTACACATGGCTAAAAACAGTAATGGCATTTCAGAAGTTGATAGTAAGATCCGGTGGATAACCTGTTTTGCGAGATTAGACGTGGGATTTCCAACACGAACCCCATCTGCTTATTTTGCAGCATTAAAAACTGTAATAATCAACAATTTCAGTTTTCCATTGACAATAATGAAGAATTATGAAGGCGATTCATGTAAGGCACTAGGAAATTTCGCGTTGCTTTTAGAAGAGTATTGTCTGAATAGACAACAGTTACCTTGTGATTCTTCACCGAGCTGCATTTTTCAAGTTGAAAAATCGGGTGCTGAAAGTGATGGATCTATAGATTTGTGAGAATTTGCTGCTGCTTCAACTTCTTTTTGTAATAACAATAACAGTCTATATAAATTTAACAATTCTGTTTCTTCTTTGATTTTTTTTGAGTCACCCTGTAAATGTAGCTCTACTAAACTATCGGACCGCATTCATAGCCTACAAGAGAAAAAAATCTTCTATACTGGAAAGGAGGAAAAAAGAATGTATCAACCTGATACATCTGCCCCTCTTTATAACCCGTGAAATAGCCCTAGTTCTAATTAAATTTCAGTTCAAGCTTCCAAAATGACTTCCAACAATATTAAAGTAGCCACAAAGATCAGACCAATGATCCACCGCGAAGTAGCCGATGGTCTAGAGCGTCTTTGGAACGTAAGAGTAAACTGCATATGGGAAGCCGATGAAAGTAGTCGCCATGGAGAGGTTTATATATTCGACCATGTATTTAATCAGGAATGTACAAATTCAGATGTATATGGATCTGTAGTAAAACCTTTAGTCGATTCCTTCATGGAAGGTTTCAATGCCACAATATTTGCATATGGCCAAACATCTTCTGGCAAAACACACACCATTTTGGCAATAAAACAGATCCTGGGCTTTTCCAATTAGTATCCAATCAGTTATTCCAGCATGTGGCAGACCAGGTTGATAAGAGGTACTTGATTAGATGCAGTTATATTGAAATCTACAATGAAAAGATCAATGACCTCCTGGATAAGAGCAATCAGGGTTTAACTATAGAGAAGATATCAAAGGAAATGTGCTGCTTGATGCAAGGGAAGCTGTCGTAGACAATGTTGATAAAGTTATGGAGAACATGATGCAGGGCAATAAGATCAGACGAGTTGCAGCTACTCGCATGAATGAGAGGTCATCTCGATCACACACGATTTTCCGGATTATTCTGGAGTCGAAAGATGCCAATCAGAAAGATGGACCTGTACATATAAGCTACCTTAACTTAATGGACTTAGCTGGTTCTGAGAGAGTTTCTCTGACGAAAGCTGCTGGTGAGCGTCTTAAAGAGGGGCTAACATAAACAAATCTTTGTCAGTATTAGGAAATGTGATAAGGCAACTAAGCGAGGGGAAGGAGTTTATCAGTTATCGCGATTCGAAATTGACTAGACTGCTCTCACAGGCTCTTGCGGTAATGCCAAATCATTGATTATCGGGAATGTTACTTTAGCTGCAGAGGAGGAGACTAGATCTACACCAGAATTCGCCCAAAGGACTAAAACTGTCAAAAATAAAACGAAAGTAAACATCTTGTCAGCTACAGAAGAGACACTTCAAGGATATCAGAACTTGACTCGCGATCTCGAAACTCGGCTCAAAAAGCAGGCAATTAAGCTAAAAGAGATGGATAAAAGCAAACAAGAGTATCTGCTCGAGATAGAAAGACTAAAAACGGAAGTATCTATTGTCGGGCGCTTTCAAATGGGAGCCTCGGCATCAACACCGAAAAAAACATTAAGACGTCATACTTTTGGACACTATGGCAACGTATCACCTAAAAAAGCATCCCTAGGGTATATGCCATTGAAAAATTATCCACCCAAAGAAGAATCATCCGGACGTGAAATGAGGCCTATTCAAGAAGAGACATATGAGGAGGCACTAGCCGAAGCAGAATCTGTGATAGCTGAAGACGTGCAAGTGTACTTAAAAGACAACTCAAAGAACTGGAAGAATCTTTCAATGAGCTTAGAGAATTCACTAAACTAGATAATCAGCTGGAGATTTTGGACCTGAAGAAACAGCTCACAGAAGCCAATTCTAAATT